TATATATATATATATATATATAAATATTGTTATAGTCATACAAAAATTTTATATATTTATGTATATTCATTTATATTTAATATATTTATGTATATTAAAAAACCTTCATAATGTAGCATGTCCTGCGGTATTTGTGAATAATATTATCTCATCATATAAATGAAACACATCACAAAAAAATTCACTGATTCATTTTGTGTCCCATTTGTTCTTGCGTGTCATTTAATGTTTTGTTTTTGTGTAGCAAAATACTAGCGGATAAAAACAGCTCAGACTGCTAAACAGAAATATTATCCGAAGTTAGATGTCGTTTGAATCCCATAATATTTAACCATGTTTAAATAACATGAAATTAATTTGTTAGTAGCTTTTTTAGTGTAGCAAGACTGAACTGAAGTACTTTGAATAATGATTACAGTGAAGTCTTTCTACAGAAAATGACTTTTTGTACTATATTATTGATGTTATGAACTGTAGTTTTTGTGTTTGAGCGTCTGTCCGCTGGTGATGTGTGTGTTGTGTTGTGTTGTGTTGTCTCTGTATCACAGAAGCAGCAGGATGAGTGTGTGTGAGGTGTTTAGGGTCGTTTATTTGAGGCGTTTCATTGTCTGCGCGGTTCTGCTGTAGCCTGAGGCTCTATCGCTCGTGGTGTATGTATCGGCTGTGGTTAGCGCCGTCGCCGGACCCCTGTGAATTAATAATGAAGAGCAGACTGAATCAGGCTCTTTAGGAAGCATGTTAGTGTCAGGATCTCTGAGGGAACACCGATGCCTGGAGAACCACAGGGTTCGCTCTCAAGCCCTGGGCTTTTGTGTATATTACACTCACTCATAAGAAACAAAATACTCTCTCATCTAATATTTTCTTTTGCTGCAATTTATAATATATATGTATTGTATGCATAAAATTCTGTACAAAAGTGCACTCACAAAATTATATTCAAGATTATCTACTCAATCTGAGGCCAGTATCTTAGTTATATTATCACAAAACATTATAAATTTTAACAGCTTTTATTAGCTTTATTAGCTTTGTTGTCATTCATTTTATTTGCTTATATATATATATATCTTCAGTAAATTGATCAATTGAAGCCAATAAGATCAATATCCGATTATTATATCTAAATCAGAAAATGTTTTAAAAAATAAATTAATAAATAAAATAAATATATGTTGCAATATATAGTATATGTTGGCCAATATCCTAGTTATATTATCACTATACATTATACATCAGTTTTATTTGCTTTTATTATTATTTTAATTTTTTTAAATTTGCATATTTACAATACAGTAAATGTGAGTGTGTGTTTGTATAATTATAATTATTTTATAATAATTATTTACTATAATATTTTACAATATTTTAATACAATTAGGCCTATTTTATTTTTATTATAATTATTATGATTTTTATTATCATTTTATTTTTAATTTTTTTTGTAAATTGATTGCAGATTTATACATTATCCATTTTAGTTGCTTTATTTTCATATATATATATATATATATATATATATATAGGTATTGTAGCAACAAAATTATTACATAAAATTTCAAAATTTATATAAATTACACTTTGATAAATCTCACTGATCTAAAAAAAACAAAAACACTCCACTTCATTTGGTCTTGATAAATTTGCTCTATGTTTAAACATCATTCCAGGATATTTACACAGTTTACAGAATCTGTGTTTTCCATGATAATCCCGATGATGTCTTAACTTTCAGCTGTATTTGTGAGTGTGAGTGTGTTTGTGTCAGGTCTGATCCGTATGCAGCTACAGGACCCGAATGAGACACACTCAGACTTTCCTGAGCACTACGAGCCGAGCGGTCAGTTATTAATAAGTGCTGGCGAGGACAGTATGAATGTGTTCAGCGCTGACAGATCAAGCCCCTGAGAGGATCGGAGGATTGGATAGAGTGCTGAAACACTAACCGTATAGATTCAGTGAGAGAGATTGATGTGCTGTCAGTGTCCCGTCTGATAAACCTCACCTACAGACAGAAGATCTCATTCATCCGGAGCGGCTGAGACTGAATCTCACCAAAACATGGCCTGCTCACATTTCACTCGGAAATCGGAAATAAGGGAATTATTTAAAGAAGATTAGAATTTTTTTTAGAACCATTAACATTGTTCTGCATTTTATATATAAACAGATGAAACATTTTAAAATGAAAAATTAAATCTGAAAGACAATAAATAGTGGTTGTGTCGTTACCAAGGTAACTGATAATTTTTGTAACAGTTGCTCATAAATAATATTCTATAATGTTCTATTAAATAACTATAATATTATACATTTATTATGTTTTTAAATTGTTAAAATATAATATTATATGTACACACACACACACACTATAATATAATTGTAATTGGGTAACTATTGCAAATGTGTGTTTGGGGGGTAAATTGTCATGTAAATAATGTAATAATGCAAAAAAAAAAAAAAAAGTACTAAAATAATCTTCATTTTCTGTATGAAAAATATGTTTTTAAGTATATTTTTATTTTAACCTATTATTTAACCTATTAATACACATCACAAATAATTGTTATTTATTTATTTAAGTTATATAATACTATAAATGTATTCTTTATAAATATAAAAACATTGTAAATATAAAAATATAATTTATATAAGTTTATATAAATTAATTATGATATAATTGTAATTGGAAAGGTCAACGTGGTCACAAAAAACAATCTTAATTTTCTATATGCGAAGTATATTTTTAAATGTTTTTAATGTCATTTTTAATTTTATTTTAGGGTGAAACGTGGCTCACGAGTCATGCTCTTGACAGATTTTTTTAGATTAACCCTTTAATGCCCAGGTGTGTTAGTGATGTAATGCGGTACAGTAGTGTGTATCTGGCAGTTTCTCTGACAGCGGGCGTCTGGCGAGGTGCGGTGCGCTGCTGACCGTGTGGTTTTGCTGTCATTCTGCGCATTAAATTTGATGGACAGCGAGCCGGAGGAAGTGAGGAGAGCGTCTGCAGCTCTAATGGCCTAATGATTGAAAATGAAGTCATAACAGCAGCTGCGGCTGACGGATGGAAACGCTCTCTGACAGAATGCTGAAACCTTCACCCCTCTAATGGGCCAATCAAACGTCCCTGAGACCCTGAGCTCCTGCTCTCAATCACGTCCTGTAACAGCAGCCCTGCTTCCCAGCATCCAATTCATTCCCTGCAAACGTCTGGGTTATAAAGTCATCGATCTCGCTGTTGTTGGAAGTGAAACGCTCAAGTTTGTCCATGTTTTTGTGGTTTGTTGATTTCAGGCACGACCCGTTGTTGGTCCCTGGACACGATCAAATGGAAACAATGGATGAGAACATAAAGAAATATGATTCGACAGGAATGTTCCACTGGTGTCCATCAAAAGACATAGAGAAGGTCATGCTGGTAAGAGACATTCAGTGCGTTACACAACAGAACTGAGATATTATCGTATTTTACATATAGTATTACAGTAGTTATTATCATTTTGAATTCGTTTTCACTTCATTTATTTTATTTTCCATTTTTATTTTTAATTTTGGTAAATTTGTAAAATGTTTATTATTTTTATTTTAGTTAGTTAGTTTTAGTCATTTTAGTAATTAAACTATTTGAAATAGTAATTTTGTTGTGTTTTTGTCAGTTTTAATATAATTTATTTTATTTTTAATTCTTATTTCAGTTTAAAATTTAGTTTTAGTAATTTTAGTACTTAAACCAAACAAAAATCAGAAATGTTGCCTTTTCAACTAACTGAAATATTTAAAGTACAACTAAAAGTAGTTTTAGTGATTTTGATGTCTTGTTTGTCTTTTTGCATCAAATTTAGTTTGTTGTTTAAAATTTCTGTTTTAGTTTAATTATTTTTAGTTTTTCTCATTTTAGTACTTTAACTTAAACAAAAATGTAAAATGTTGCCTTGGCAATTAACTAAAATATACTATATATTCAGTTAGACTTTCAAATAAAAGTAGTTTTTTGTCAGTTTTATTACTTTAAAATGTTTATTTAGTTTTTTTATGTCAGTTTTAGTTTCATTATTTTTACTTGTATTTTTAGTCTTTGTAGTACTCAAAATATTGATTTGATAACTGAAATATTTATTTAAAGTATAACCGAAAGTAGTCGCAGTAAATTTGTTTTGTGTTTTTGTCAGTTTTTTTATATATCTATTTCATTTTTTTTCTTTTTATTTCCTTTTTAGATTAGATAATTTAATTCCTCAACTTAATCAAAACGAAAATGTAAAATATTTCCTCGCAACTAACTGAAATATTTACTTAGTATAACTGAAAGTAGTTTTAATAGTTTTGTTTTATTACTTATTTTAAATTTTTAAAATGTATCGTTAGTTTTTATTTTATTTTTCTGTTTTTGTTAGGTTATTTTCAGTTTTAGTAATTCAACTTAAAATAACATAAATATAAATAAATATTTATATATAAATTGGACAAATTGCGTAGAATTTGTCAATTTATAAATTACATAAAATTTCAAATTCTATATAAATAATGAAACTGAAAGTTTGTAACATTTTATTTCAGTTAACTTTTATTTTATTTCAAATAATGTAAATGTTTTTTAATAGTTGTAGTTCACAGTAATAACAGTGTCAGACTAGTGTTTGTGACTAGCTTGAGGGTCAGTAAAGGTCAGTCAGTGATTTATTGGTCTGTATTTCTCTCTCAGACTCGCAGCGAGGCGGCGATGACGGTTTTGAGCGGTCACGTGGTGGTTTGTATATTCGGCGATGTGAAGTCGGCTCTGATCGGTCTGCGTAACCTGGTGATGCCTCTGAGAGCCAGTAACTTCCACTATCACGAGCTGAAGCCCATCGTGTTCGTGGGCTCTCTGGAGTATCTCAAGAGAGAGTGGGAGACGCTACACAACTTCCCCAAAGTCTCCATCTTACCCGTGAGCGGACGGCAGTCTCTGTTTAACCCGTGATGCACTCTAAAAAAATCTGTAAAGATAGGGCACAATATACTGTATATATTATATACTGTTTTTACAGGTGTTCTACCAGTGTTTTAAATTTTACACTTCATTGCATTGTGTTTTAGAGTTAACAGAAATGTCCGTAAAATTAGTGGATAATAAAAGCTGTGTAATTTTCCGGATGTATTTTTTTACAGTGTGGCGTTTCAGCGTCACGTTTCTGACGTGTGTCTCCTGTTTAGGGGACTCCACTGAGTCGGGCCGATCTGAGAGCCGTCAACATCAACTTGTGTGACATGTGCGTCATCCTTTCGGCCAATCAGAACAACATCGACGACGCCTCTCTGCAGGATAAGGAGTGTATTCTGGCCTCTCTCAACATCAAGTCCATGCAGTTTGATGACAGTATTGGACTCCTGCAGGCCAACTCTCAAGGTAGAGACGGGACAGGAACCGTCCTCAGCTCAGATTTTTGATTTTGTTAACATACATAAATGCCAAAATATTAAAGGGGTCCTATTATGCTCTTTTACAAAGTGCTGAGCTGTGATTGGTTAGCTGGGCCAGTGTGTGTTGTGATTGAGCTTTGTAACTTCGCAGATCTTTTTTATGCTCAAACAGCAACATTACAGACTAACTAAAGTTGAAAAAGTGAAAAAGCAAAATAGGACCCCTTTAAGCATCACGGGTGAATATTTAATGAGTAATGCACTATTTTGTAGAGAAGGTTCAAAATGACATTTTCACCTATGATTCGGAGCCAAATTACAGGACGGTAAAAATTACTTTATAAAGTTGGCAGTATATGATTATTTTATGATTACACAGAGATTGGTAGGCCTATTAGTTAAATCTGTTGACTTTATCCATCTTTGTTGCATTATATGCCAATAGTGACCATTCAAAAATGGGGAAATGGCACTTCTTGTGTTTTTTTTTTTTCCTGAAGTTGGCAGGACTGTAACTCAAAAAGCATTAAAGTTACATTAATATCCTGTTAGATTTTAGATCGTCATCTTTATCTTTTCTTTTGGTATCTTAATTTTTAAGGCCCGGTGTGGTTCATTTCCAGAGATATTGGGATTGTAATGTGGCTCCTTGAGTAAATTGTTTTAGTTATATGGCACTCAGACATCTATGTTCTATACATTTGTTTTGATAGAGGGAAAGAGGATACATTTATAGTTTCAAAATTATTTGTACTTCAGACATTCCACTTTAAATTCAGTAAGTATCAGCTGTATACAAAGTCAACAACATTTGGTTTTTGACTGCTAAAAATAAGATACGAAAAGGAAAGTTTGTTAAGACCCAAAATCTAAAAGGATATTAAGATATCTTTAATGCTTCGTGAGCTACATGCATGCAAACCTTAGAGACAAAACTTGAAATGTGCTTTTTTCCCATTTTTGAATGGTCACCATTGGCATATAATGCAACAAAGATTGCTTAACTCAACAGATTTTACTAATAGTGCTACTAATCTCTGTGTGAAAATAACATAATGATGCTCCCATCTTTCTGAAGTCATTTTTACACCCCTGTAATTTGGCTCCAAATCTCAGGTGAAAATTTCATTTTGACGCCCCTCTACAAAATAGTGGATTACTCATTAAATATGCATCCATGACATTTAATATTTTGGCTTTCATCACTATTTATGTTTGCCTTTCTTTAGGAAAAATATTAACAAAATCAAAAATTTGAGCTGGGGAAGTTTCTGAAATTTGGTTGATTTAACATGGAACTGTATTTATGTATTTTTGTGCTCTGCTCCAGGTTTCACTCCTCCTGGCATGGATCGCTCATCTCCGGAGAACAGTCCCGTACACGGATTGGTGCGACAGGCGTCCATAACCACTGGAGCAAACATTCACATCATCACAGAGCTCGGTGAGAATCACTCACTTTTAAGCCCAAACTAATACATTTATTCATCAAGGATGCATTCAATTGATTAAAAGGGACAGTAAAGATTTGTCACCTGTGTTGGCAAAATGAGTCACAATGAGCAAATGTTCAAAAATGAGTTATTTTTTGTATTTGAATTGTATTCGTTTTTTTAAATTGTGTGTATAGTTTTTTATAAATTTTTATTTAACACTTTAAATATTTTATTTAACTTAAAGCTGCAGTCCGTAACTTTTGGCGCTCTAGCGCGGCACCTACCCAAACCAGTCTAAATAGTCCGAATATAAACACTTATTATAGGTGTACCGTAGTGATTCAGGACAAGCCAAAAACACGGTTTGGAAAATGTATTCATGGTGTACTCGCTTATTATATACATTTTGTACATTTTGAACACAAAAAAGTTACGGACTGCAGCTTTAATTTAAATATTACATATAAAATATATTTAAATATAAATAATAATTAAACTAAATGTATTTAAAACAATGAGAACTATTGCCTTGGCAACTAGCAGAAATAAGTTTGAGGTTTAATTTAATTTAATTAGATTTTAAGTCAAATCTTTCATTACTTGAAATAAATTATGTTTTTAGCTTTAGTTAACTATAGTAACCCTGACATTAATTAATAAAAAATACAGCTGTTCATAGTTAGTTCATGTTAGCTCAGGCCAATTAAATAATATTAGCACATACCTTTGATTTTAATAATTATTATTAGTAAACGTTGAAATAAACATTAACGAAGATGAATAAATGCTTTAAAATATTGTATTGATAGTTTAACTATGAAGTTTACTAATGTTAACAAATGGAACCTTATTGTAAAAAATCCTACTGACCCCAAAGCATTTGAGTGTGAACGGCTGTTTTAACTACTGTTTTAGCTAGTTTCTAGGTTTATGGTTGCAACTAAATGGTTGGTTTTGGTAACTGGTTGTTTTATGCTGCTAGCTAAAACAGACAAGTTGCTGCCCCTGGTTTCTCTGAGCCAGGACAAGAGCAGCGGGAACAACATCCCAATGATAACTGAGCTGGGTAAGAACGGCTGGCGTTCCTGTCACTCTGTGGAGGTTTCTGCTGTTCTTCTGTTCCTCTCTGGTGTTTTTCGCTGTTGGCATGAGCATTTCTGCAGCATGCTGTGAATCCTGTGTGTTTCTGTGTGGCGAGACGCGCTGCTGATTCCTGTCAAACCGATCGAATCTGTCGTCTGTTCAGAGATGATCTGTCACTCCGTTACGTGTTTCTGAGTGTCTCTGACAGGAAACTCAAAGGCTCAGGGTCAGAAATGAACTTCCTGCTGCTTCTGACAATTAATCGACAGCATTTCTGTCCATAAATGATTTTTTTCTGACCATGAACCAGCATTTTTGGCAATGTTTGATTTATTAATATTTTCAATTAGTTTTTATTTTTTCTATTTTCTATTTTAATTTTAGTAAATTTGTTGTTTGTTTGGCCAATGTTTTAAAATTAAGTCTAAAAATAAAAACATTCAAATATTGATAAAAACTATAATAGTTTTAAATAAATTATTTTTACTGACCACTGCATTTTACATCATTTTTATTTGTTAATGTTAAAGGGTTAGTTCACCCAAAAATGAAAATTAGCCCATAAATTACTCACCCTCAAGTTATCCTAGGTGTATATGACTTTCTTCTTTCAGACGAATCCAGTCGGAGTTATATTATTAATTGTCTTTGATCTTTTAAACTGTTTAATGCCACTCAGCGGGTGTTGCATGCATCAGTCCAAAAGAAGTGAAATAAAAAGCGCCCATCCATAATAAAAAGTGTCTCACACGACTCCGGGGGGTGAACAAAGGCCTCCTGTAGCAAATTGATGCGTTTTTGTAAGAAAAAAAATCCATATTCAAAACGTAATAATCACTTTAATGTAGCTTGCGCCAACAGTTGTACACGGAAGCAGCTCCGGGCGGATGACGTAAGATGTGAACTATAATTGTGAACTATAAAGGTGAACTAAACCTTTAAGAATTAGTTTTTATTTTATATTTAAATTGTAATTTTTTGTAATATATATGTCTTTGTCATATATATATTATTGATCTTATTGTTCTTTCCATTTGACTATAAATACATTTCTTACCAGCAATGTAAGTTTTATTTTATTTACTTGCCAAAGTTTATGCATTTTCATGAAAATGCTTGTCATGAAAATAATTTCATAATTTAAAAAAAAATCTTAAATGGTCCACCTTTATGCAAAATATGAATTTTTTAATGTATTTTTTATTTTGTATTTTTTTAATTGGTTGTAATTTTTTATATTTTCTGTTTTCATTTTAATTTTTGTTAAAGTTTTAGTAATTTTGTTGTGCTTTTTTGTCATTTTTATTATTATTACTATTATTTTTTTAATGTCTATATAGTTTTTATACATTTTTATTTCAGTTAGTTATTTCTGTACATCAAGTTAAGCTAAATGAAAATGAGAAATATCTCGCCAGAGAGCCCAATCACCTTCGAGTGTTAACAAAACAAGCCAATGAATGTTACTACACACCTATTCATTGCACATGGCTCCCCAGCCTATGGCAGAGGCATCTGTTGAGACAACAACATGCCTGAACACATGCACTAGGGGAACTCCCGCCCGAAGAAAGGCAAGGTCCCACCACGGGCTGAAAGTCTGGCGGCAGGACGGGGTGACTGAGACCTGGTGATGCAATGCCCATCTCAGGACTCGGTCGTGAAGCCAACGCTGAAGCGGTCTCATATGAAGCAATCCGAGCGGCGTGCCCGCGGCAGCGGATGCCATGTGCCCCAGGAGCCTCTGAAACTGTTTCAGTGGGACCGCCCTCCTGCTCTGAAAGGACTCCAGGCAGTTCAGCATCGACTGGGCACGCTCTACTGAGAGATGTGCTGTTAGATTGACCGAATCCAAGCCAGTCGTCAAGGTAGTTGAGAATGCGAATGCCTCTTTCCCTCAATGGAACAAGGGCTGCCTCCACGACTCTGGTGAAGATGCGAGGCGACAGGGACAGCCCGAAGGGGAGGACCTTGTACTGATATGCTCGCCCCTCGAACGCGAAGCGGAGAAATGGCCTGTGTCGAGGGAGGATCGAGACATGAAAGTACGCGTCCTTCAGGTCGATCGCTGCGAACCAATCGTGTGGACGAACTCGTTGAAAATGCGTTTCTGCATCAACATCCTGAACGGGAGCGTGTGGAGGGCTCGGTTCAGAACACGCATGTCCAGGATTGGCCGTAACCCACCGAGGTGACGTGGTGTTGACAGCAGCAAGCTGCCGGGGCAGGATGTGCTTAATTGCCTCCATATGCTTCTGTGCGGCGGAGAACTGCTGGGCGAAGCTCTCCGTGCGTCGCTGAAGAGGCCAGCCTAGGAGATCGGGGAGTCCAGGAAGTGGTGTTTGTCGGACTCCCTCATATCTAACAGGTTCAGCCAAAGATGGCATTCCTGGACCACCAAGGTGGACATCGTCTGACCCAGGGACCGCGCTGTGACTTTCGTCGCCCGTAGGGCGAGGTCCGTCGCAGTGCGCAGCCTGTGACTTTCGTCGACCAGAGGGCGAGGTCCGTCGCTGTGCGCAGTTCCTGCATTACCCCAAGGTCAGAACTGCCCTCGTGCAGCTGCTTCAACGCCTTGGCCTGGTAGACTTGCAGGAGGGCCATGGTGTGCAGGGCGGAGGCGGCCTGTCCAGCAGCTCTGTAAGCCTTGGCCGTTAGAGAAGACGAGAACTTACAAGCTCTGGACGGGAGGCGTGGATTACCCCGCCAGGCAGTAGCGCTCTGCGGGCAAAGCTGCATCACAATAGCGCGCTCGACTGGGGGAATCTCCACATACCCCTTAGCCACCCCGCCGTTTAGGGTAGTGAGGACGGAAAAAGATGCCCTCCAAGACCTAGTAACCTCTTCATGCACCTCCGGGAAGAATGGAACCAGAGGTGGACGCCGAGGATCGGCGTGCTAGGCCCCGCCTCCGGGGGCTCAGCAGCCTCATCACGGAACACCACGGGGTGCGATGTGCTGGAGGTGTGAGGGGCCCGCGGAGATGCACTTGGCGGGGAAGCTCTCACTCTAATCCTCAGATCGCCTTGACCATACGGCGAAGTAGTCCTCCGCTGCTGTGAGACAGAGGAACTAGAACAGGGCATAGCAAGGGGGACTCCCCCTCGTTTCATGAAGAGGAGTCTCGATTGCAACATCGAGATGGTCATGTTCCCACAATGAGAACATGAATCATCTACGATCGTGACCATCAGTCGGAGCCAGGAAGCGACCGCATCCAGAAACACACGAGTGGAAGGCCATCTTTAAAAAGACGCCGCGTCACTCGTGGAGCTCTTTTAGAACTTGCTCTTTTAGATTTAAGTGCTGAAGAGCCCACTTAAATCTAAGTGGTCACCGCGTGACCGCAGTTTGATGAGCTGCAGCACGCCGTCCAAATCGGAAAAAAAAAGCAGCAGCACTAGTCCAGCAAACCTCTGCTGACGCACCGTAAAACCAACAATCGCGGAACTGTTGTTCTGTAACACTCTCTTCAGTGACTGCTCAAGCAGAAAGGCTCGGCTCCTCAGCGAAAAGCTGAATGTGCGACTGCACGCACTCTCCTTATATACTCGCGCTGCGGGGTGGGGTGCGTGATGCAAAGCTCGCACGCCAACATTCATTGGCTTGTTTTGTCTGGCAAGATCCCAATTCGTCAGTCACTGCCGACGTAACATCGAACGTGACTGAAAGGGAACTGTAATAACCTTTCTTTTGTCATGTTTTATCAGACTGACTCATAATACATATCATCACATCATGTTTCTGCTTAAAGGTCTGAAGAAAATCTTCATCTAGATAATCTTTGAAGTTCTTGTTAAACTTCTTATTAAATTTATCGGCTGCTGCACTGGCAAGTTGCACCAGTTCATTTACTTGCCAAATTCTTGCATTGGGTGCTGAAAAGCTGAAAAAAAGAGTTAATTTTTGACCCTGTGTTGTCCTGTTATTTTCTGTGAAAATTTTTAATAAGACTCATTTAATGAAATACATTCCTAACAGTCCGTGTGTGTGTGTGTGTGTGTGTCTGCAGTGAACGACTCAAACGTCCAGTTTCTGGACCAGGATGATGACGACGATCCCGACACGGAGCTGTACCTCACGCAGCCGTTCGCCTGTGGGACAGCGTTCGCTGTCAGCGTGCTGGATTCATTAATGAGTGCCGTAAGTAAACGCAAACACAGCGGCGTCAGGCCTCGCGCATTGCTCCGCATCTGTAATGTACGGTGGCTCTGCAACTTAAGAAAACACATGCAAAGCACCAGCAAATTAAGAAAACATCTTCATCAGTTTGACAGCACATGTGCTGCAAATGCTCACAACACAAACAAATAAAGAAATGCACAAGTAGCACAGACCACAACAAAATTTCCCCAACAAAACGAAAATTAACCATGTTTTTTTTGGGGGGCATATTGATTACCATTTGTATAACCACAGTTGTACAAATACCATGGTTAAACTATGGTTTGTGTAGTTAATCCATGGTTAATTTGTACATGGTTTAACTATAGTAACCATTTTTTGTTTTTATTTAGTTTTTATATAATAAATGTAGGTAACACTATATTTTAAGGTGTCCTTGTTACACATATTACATGTACTTACTATTATAATAAAAATTAGTTATGCATAATTACATGCAAGATACCCTAACCATATAGTAAGTACATGTAGTTAATTAATATTACTCAGTACTTATATGTATAACTATGCTGTAACAAGGACACCTTAAAATAAAGTGTAACCTAAATGTATTTATCAATTAATTAATTTTAATTGTAAAATCATTATGTATGGTTGAGGGAAAGTTGTAAAAGTAAATTAGCCAGCTTACATAACCTTTCACAGTTACAGTAACTGTATTTCGTCAGCTTATTTAGGCTAATAATATAAATTAAAAAAAAACTATAAGGAAGGATGTTAAAATAAACAAAAATCTGACCTTTGAGAGCAAACATTGATAAATATGTCCCAGCCATGTTCGTCACTTCCATAACCATTTCCGAGGTGGTCTTTGCCTGTTTGTAGCGAGTTTCTGTTTTTGCAGCGCGCTTCTTTATTTGGATGTGTTGTGAGTATTTGCAGTGTGTGTGTTGTCAAATTTTCGTAATTTGCATGTGTTTTTTTATTTGCAGCGTGTTGAGCTCTCTCAGCCACAGTAGTAACGCTCCTCTCCCTCTGTCTCTTGTCTCAGACGTACTTCAATGATAACATTCTGACTCTGATCCGGACGCTGGTGACCGGCGGAGCCACGCCGGAGCTGGAGGGTCTGCTGGCGGAGGAGAACGCGCTGCGTGGAGGATACAGCACACCGCAAACACTGGCCAACAGAGACCGCTGCCGCGTCGCACAGCTGGCGCTTTACGACGGGCCCTTCGCTGATCTGGGGGTGAGACTGACATCTCTTACTTCTTCATTTGGTTCATGTTTAACCCTCAGGTGCTGCTTGTATGGAGGTCAAAAATGACCAATTTTTTTTTTATTTCAATTAAATGTACAATATGTTATTTAGATAATGTTTTTTATTTAACATTTTGTATATTTAGAGGAATTTATGGTACTAAATTATATTTATAGAATAGTTATGATCCATTTATTATACATATTAACCACTTTTTGAGCATAGACCTGAAAATGAATATTTACATTTTATTACAAAATACATTTCCCAAAACATGTTTTACTGTAAAAATTTGTGAAAATCAAAGCCATAAATCTAAAGAAGTTGTGTTCCAAATTTGAGGTTGATATTGAAAAAAGAGCTTTCAGTAAGTTTTTATTTATTTATTTGTTTGTTTGGGTGCAGTACCAAACATTTCCACTAGATGAAATTTGCTTTCCATTTTTGTTGTTGTTCTTTTTTTGTGTTCTCATAGCAAGTGGCAAAAACCTTAACCCACCATTAACCCTCTAGTGCTCTTTGGCCATTTTTGACTGAAGGAATTTACAGTTTTTTTTTTTTTACTTCTTCTGAATGGTACGGAACTTGGTAAAGGTTTTGGCACATTTGCTATGTGAACACACACAAAAATCATCAATATGATTTGAAAAGGTTAAGTGGTCCTGAAAAAAAAAACTGTCACACTTGTACTCCTCACAGTCAAAAAATACCGCATTGGGAATGAATGGGAAACAAATTTCATCTCGTGGAAATGTTTGGTACTGCACACAAACTTAAAATCTTACTGAAAGCTCTTTGTTTTTTGTGATATCAACCTCAAATTTGGAACACAGCTTGTTTAGATTTATGGCTTTGAATTTTTTGCAGTTTTATAGTAACACATGTTTTGGAAAATATATGTTTTATGTAAAATTGTAAAAAATATAAAACAGGACTTTCTGGATGTTTGGAGGCCTGAGAGTCAAATACTAAAATTGTTTGAATCTATTTTTTTTAAAAATATATTTAAATCTGTATCACCATATAATGTTTATGCTTGTGTTTTCAGGATGGAGGCTGTTATGGTGATTTATTCTGTAAAGCATTGAAGACGTACAACATGTTGTGTTTTGGAATCTACCGATTAAGAGACGCACATCTGGGAGCACCCAGCCAGTGCACCAAACGGTGAGAGAACCAGCTTTACTATGTGGTCGGTCGGTAATATTTTGAATGTTTTTGAAAGAAGTCTCTTCTGCTCACCAAGGCTGCATTTAGTTGATCAAAAATACAGTGAAAACAGTAAAATTGTAAAATATTACTATAATCTAAAACAGCTGTTTTCTATGTGAATATGTTCTAAAATGTAATTTATTTCTGAGATCAAAGCTGTATTTCCAGCATCATTACTCCAGTCTTCAGTGTCACATGATCTTTCAGAAATCATTCTAATATGCTGATTTGCTGCTCAAGAAACATTTCTGACTATCATCAGTGTAGTGTTGTGCTGATGAATATTTAAAGTTCAAAAGAGTAGCATTAATTTGAAATATAATTTTTAAAATGATGTAAAACGAACATTTCATGCATTTTTGTAATAGAGGAAAATCTTTATAATTCAATAAGTTGTAGATACATAAAACAAATTAACAATACATACTGAAAATATGTTGAGAAATGCACCAAATATAACATTTAGACAATTTAACCATTTAGATTCACAACTCAAATGATGTAAAACAAACATTTCATGGATTTTTGGAATAAAGAAAAAATCGGTATAATTCAGTAAATTACAAAAGATCAAATAAATGAACAATACATACAAGAAATACACAAAATACAAAACAAATGCACCAAATATAAAGAACATGGTGGATCACGTCGTACCTAACAACGCCCCTTAGCTGTTATAAATTCACTGTAAACCACGGCTTCACGGGGCTTATTGCTTTAATCAATTCAACGCATCCTTGCAAAGCTATAGTTATTGAGCTTTGCTTTAGTAGGTTGTTTGTAACTTTTTTGTTACATGTCAAATTAAACTGTTTCTCTCGTGACAGATACGTGATCACGAATCCTCCGTACGACTTCGAGCTGGTGCCTACAGATCTGATCTTCTGCCTGATGCAATTTGACCACAACGCCGGCCAGACGCGCACTAACCTGTCCACTCACTCCACCTACTGCCCCAGCAAGAAGAGCCAATCCGCCCACTCCGTCCCCTCATCTGCCCGGCCGGGCCGCAGCCGGAGCCGCGACCTGCGCGACAAACAGAAGTACGTTCCTCTGTAAGCGTCAGTGCGGACTCTTATCACAAACACGAATCCCGGACTGTATGTTTTTACACGTATCAAATGTTTACTTCGCACATCATCTTTCGCATACTAGAAGTTGCATCTGTATAAAGCACCGGCCAGCGTTAATGAATAATGAATCAGTTTGACCATTTTGCACTTTAACTGCACTTTAATCCTACAGTTTGATAACAGCGACTTGACAAACGCTCGTGTGCTTCTACATCCTGGTATTCCTCGTATAACACGGCTGCTGTCTCATGTTACCCACATACAGTGGCTCCAAACGTCTGACGGCTTGCATTTTTAGTTCATAAAAAATTACATTCAATTATTCAGTCAGTACAGTTAAATTTAAGTATTTAAATGTAAATATTAAACTAATAAAATAAAAAATTTTTGCAATTTATTTATTTTTTATTACAGAAAATGATTTTTTTGGAAATGAATTTTTTGCAACAGTTTCAGAACTCAAATAATGTAAAACAAACATTTTGTGGATTTTAGGAATAAAGAAAATTTAATCCACTGCAGATACATAAAATAAATGAACAATACGTACTCAAAATATGCTGACAAATACACCACGTATAAAGGACATGATGAATACATATTTGAATTGATATTTTGCATTTTTAGTTATTAAAAAGTCAATAAAAACATTAAATAGTAAATAAATAATATTAATAAATATTACATTATCTGATCATATAAATTGCAGTTAAAATTTAAATTAACTTGAATTTATTTTTAATGATGTAAGACAAACATTTAATTGATTTTAGGAATAGAGAAAAATCTGCACAATTCAATCCATTATAAAACATAAAATAAATGAACAATGCATACTAGAAATTTACAAAATATGCCATAAAATTAATCAAATATAAAGGTCACAATGGGTAAAGTGTACATATTTTAATTGATGTTTTACATTTTCAGCTACTAAAAAATACACAAGTCAATAGAGATATTAAATAATAAATTAATGCTAATCATAAATTGCAGTGAAAATTTAAATAAACTTTAAAATACAAATTTTGTAATTTGTGATGTATTTTTGAACAATTTAGATTATTTTGTAGATTTTTCAACAGAAAAAAAAAACTGTAAAATTTTAATCAGTTGCAGATCCATAAAATAAATAAACAATACTATACAAAATACAAAACAAATGCACCAAATACGTATAAAGTTCATGATGAATAAAACTGCATATATTTTAATTGAACAAAATCAATATTAGGTCAGTGTCACAAAACATTTTGATTAGTGACAGAGAAATAGTGCAGAATCTGAAATATTACTTGAGAGTGTTTTCTCAGACATTTGGACCCACTGTACTTACACATCAATATATATGTGCTCATAAAGAATGTTAGTATTTTCCAAATGTTTTTATTTTCCATTCACTGCCTTCTTGAGACGACAGATGACAGAATGAGAGTTTAATCACACCAGCCTTGACAGAAACGCATAGCAAACGCATCAAGACGTACGCTACTGGACGACTGCGAAACAAAGGCTAAACGTCCGCGTGATTCTGACCGGGTTTATGGTCAGGTTAGTGGCAGGTTCATCGTGATTTAGAAACCCATCTGAAATGAAGCGAATGGAAACGCTGATTTTCTGACGTTGAAGCATTATTCCTCAAGCTGGTCTAATGCGTTTTCCTGCAGCCGTCGCTCCACGCTTCTGTGCTGAGACTCATTTGACAAATGTTTTATCTTCCATTCAAAATCTTTTCCATATTTCTAAGGCTGTTAAACTCTTTTGGACTGAACGCGTGCTGTTTGGTTGGTTGGTATAACTCACGTAATATATGAAAGTGTTGCGATGCTGCAAGAATAAAGTTGTTTGATGAGTATATGTAAAGAAGCAAGCGGGACGTTTGTTTGCTTTTTATGTTTAATTCACGTTTATTGCTATAGTAAGACGCTCACACCAAAGTGATTCTCTCAATATCACGTGTAAGAGATTTTTCTTATATGATTATAATGAACTAGTGTATGCGATATCTTAAACATAATAAAAGTATTTTTTTCTGTATTGATGATGTGACGTCTTTGCTTTTGAAACACTTAAAGCAGCTGATTTTGCTCAGGACCTCATTTTCATTGATATTAATTTTATTATTTAAAAAATAATGTTTGTGCTTTTCATGTATATTTTTTATTGTATTACTTTTTATTTTAGAATTTTAAAATTACATTTTGATTTTAATAATTTAATGCAATTATAGTCATTTTATTATTTAATCATTTTATATACTGTAAATTGATAACTATTTTAAACCTAAAGTACAAATACACTTGTAAATACTTGTGT